TTTAACTAATTTATTGGTTTGGGTTCTTTAATGTACAAAATATCTATATGTAAGATGAAATCATAAATCAAGTTTTATTTCTGGTTTGAATTTGCTTTTATGACTAAAACTGCCTCGAGAAATTGAAGGATATTTAATGAAGTTAATATAATTAATGGAAACCCTTGGACAAAGCATAGACTCGTATTTGTACAAATCAGAAATGACCAAATTTTTCTGTTAAGCCATAATGAAATGACCAAAATGTACTATTAACTATTAAGGTTGTGAAATGTCTTGTGAAGCTTTGATGTGTACTAGAGCATCCTACTTTCAATTGTTGTGCTAGCTAAAGCTTTTTGGAAAGAAATTTTTAGTTTTTGATGGTTTTGTTTATTTCCATGTTGGGTTAATTTAAGGTATGTATGTTTCTACCTCTAAAATTATAGTTTTTTACGGTTTAAATGCCAGTAAAGATTTTGGTCAGATTGATTGAATGCATCTAGATTTTCCTATTTAAATTACAGTAAAAAGTTGTCATTCACACTTCTTTAGTTTGGTTATTATATTTTACAAATTGCTAAACCTATATAACTTTTAATAGTTGGTTATTACAGGAATTTTGAACAAAACCATCTATAACATACTTTACTACTACCACTATTTTACTAGAAGTTGATTGTGGAAGACATGGGTTAAGATTAGGGGCGAATAAATCTTATTTTTTTTAGATTTTCTATAAGTTTTTCTACTGTGTAAAATGCAAGAAAAAACATCATACTTTCATTAACTGTTATTTAAACATTATATAATAGAAAATCTACCTAAATATAACAGTATTATTTAAAAACAAAGGAATTATTTGTTGATTATAAGATTTTGAATAAAAATAGGTAAAAACTCAAGTTATTGTTAATTTGGTTTTTTGGTTAGTTATCTATGTTTTGGCAGGAAGAAAAGGGTATATGTCAATGTCATTACCAAGTTTAGAGATTGGGATGTGAGCTGGTGTAATGTTCGTGAAATTTCACCGAATTGATTTAGATTATTTTTTAATTAATTTAATATTAAAATAAAATATTTTTCAGCTTGGAAACATGCATGAGAATTATTAAAATATATAGTTAAAAAGTATAATATATCATTTGATATAAATTGGCATAAATAATTTTAATCTTTATTAAATCGTAAAAGTAAGTATAAACTATAAAGTTAGCATTTCTTTAATATAGAACTAGAGGGGAATTAGCTGCGCCTTTGGCGCTGTGTTTTTGTTTTTTTCCTTATTTTAAGTTGTAGGAAACGATATAACATATTATAATATTTATTAAAACATGTCATATATACAAAAGGGGTGTTCATACGAGTTACATAGGAAGCACTAGATTATATTTAGAAAGGCAAGATACTTTAACACAGCAAAAGTTTATTTATACCAAAATGCATTAAACATACAAACGTATTATAGCAACCTACTTTCAAGTCTTTCCATCTAATGTTTCCAGTTCTATTCGCAAAATCTTCTGTACCGCCTGTAAAAAACATACAACACCAAATCATATATAACTATAATGTGTACATGTATATGTGTGTAAAAACTTACCTTTTTGGACCCAGCATAAATGCCAATGCTTACAACATAAAATGGGACTAAAAAGAGTGTAAGTAGATTTCTATTATGGATAACTAAATTAAGTATAGTATATATATTGGTATAAGATCAAATCTCTATTATATAACCAGATCAAATCATTACCCTTCGACCTTCTATTTCACAATATAATTCTCAATTTCACATCATCCGTTGTCAACTTATGAACCCTCATATATGTTTTCATAGTAAAATTGTTTAAAAGAGAATTTTTTTATCTATTCTTTTCTATTGGAAGTACAAAATAAAAATCAAAATCAAAATCGTATACCCCAAGTAATCACAGTTGGATATCATCAATCACCTATGTGTATTAACTATTAATTGTATAATCAGCTGATGTTCAAAATTATGAAGTTGTGACCACAAATTTATTTTTGAAGTGACCAGCTTCATAAGATATTATCAGAAAACAAAACAACCTTCAGCCATATCATTTTTGTCCATGCGGTTTCTCTGAAGACCATGTCGCCATAGCTTGCATATCAATATCTTTTTTTGCTAAGTTTACAACTGAGTTGTTCAAAAACTGTGGAAGTCCTGAAATCTGAAATAATTACATGAAAAATACTTAATTATAACATTTTACATGTAATTGCAATGCACTTGTGTTTCCTTATAGGTAATAGCAATGTACTTTACTTTTTTATACAGAATAGGAGAATACTTACATTTTTATCCATTATAGTAACATACTTAAACTTTGCTATGAATATAGGCAACGTATTTTATGTGTTACATAATTTTAATTTTTATTAATGGGTTAAACTAAAAAAAAAGGTTATATTTTTTTTATACGGATTAAACCTCAAAATTATTTTTTGTCAGAAAAAGACCTTGTATTTTTTTTTTTTTTTTCAGAAAAAAACCTCAACTTTGTATTTTTTTTCCAAAACAAACCGTCAACCTTCTTAATGCTTCGAAAAAAACTCTCAACTTTTTTAGTTTTTTCTCGAAAAAAACCTTACATTTCTCAATTTTTTTGGTAAAAAATGACTAAAAGGACCAATTCGGGGAAAATGAAAAAATTCAAGTTTTTTTTTCATATAATAAATAAAGGTTTAATCCGGGAAAAAAACAAAATATAAGTTTTTTTTTAGTTTAACCCTTTATTAATAGAATGTAGTGTGGGTAAAAACTAAAAGTAAACTACATTTGCATATATTACATTACTATTTTTGGCGGTTTATAGAATATTTCCTACCTAAAAAAACCACCTCTGATAAAAGTCAAAACATTAGTCAACAGATGCTTCTAGAACTGTGAAAAATGTTTGAAATTTATTATAAATCAGATTTTTTATTAAATAAAACCTAAATAAACGAATGAAAATAGGTATAGTTTTGTAGACATGCTGCAACAATGGTAAATATTTTTTTACTATTATGGAAATTCAACAACTTACCTATACTTAGAAGAAGGGGGATCTTGATCTATGTGATGTTGTAAATAACGTAAACCTTGCACATCCATGTAAAAATGAAGATTGAAAGCTACATAGCAATATTTTTTTAATAATTTAATCACCACAAACTAAAATGACCAAAATGGCCCCACAACCAACATAAGGGAGGATGGAAATTCATAAACTGTCACAAGAGTAAGGAAGTTGATGTAGGGACAATTTTGGAATAAAAGTAAGTAATAAAAAGTTTTCATAAGATCAATATTTGATAAGAGTAAGTTTATCAATCATGATGATGATATTACAGAAAATGAGTAAAAAACCATTGTCTCATTAAAGGATAGAGATAAACCTTGTCACAAACTTGTCAGGATGTTGATCTGTCACCGAGGTGGACTGCAGGCTAATTGATGTTGCATTTCCAACTCCACCATCAATAACTCCTCCCATGGAATCAACCCCAACATTGACTAAAATCAAAGATCCTGAAGCACATCCATGCGTCCCCATTATAATAACGTAGAAGCGTTTCTCTCCCTTTCATTTCCAAAAAAGACCATCATACCCTTTCTGCTTATTATTGCAACATATCATATTATAATATATTTTTAAGGGGGTGTTAACCATATATATTATGTTCCCTGTTTCGAGTTTTATATTTTAGGGTCAACTTAAATTTTTGATAAAAAACAGACTTAAAAAAACCATACCAGTAGCTTGTTTTCTTGTTCTCGAAACACCTGCAAGTGTTTGCCATTCATTTTTCCATTTCTTGTTTTAAATGATGGTGAGAAGCTGATAGGAAATGAGTATTGTTGGACCCAAATACCATTTAAGCAAGAATTTTATAGGTTTTGTCTAGAAGGCCCAGTAAAGGGCAAAACAGGAAATTCACCTAGGTGGGCTAGGATTATAATAAATAGAGAGAAAGGTTACAGTAGAGGGATGTCTAGAAATTTGATAGTGTAATACGTTTGTATTGGCTCTTAAGCTTTCTGCTTAGAGAGAGGGAGATTCCTTGGGCAATCTTTTAGATTGTGTTATCATTTAATCAATTAGTCTATTTCATCATCTTCTTTCTTTCATTCTGTTTGATCATATTTCATCAAACCCTAATTTCTGTTCTTCATCAGAAGCTTCTGAAGACTGTAGAGCAGGTAGTTCTTCTAATTTCAAACCTGCATTTCTCTTCCTAAGAAAAAAAATAAGATACCGATTATTTACCTTAAGGCTAATGATTATCCATACTTATTGGCCCAAGAACAGAAGGCAAATGAATTCCATGGATTACAAGATATAATAAGATTTTTCAAATCCTTAAAACACATTTCAACTCTCAAATCCAAAACTTCATTCGTGGGCCAAATCAAACAATGTATAAAAGTACAAATATTGCTTAAAAAAAGTTATACCCACAAGAACAAACATATCTTTTTCTTTCTTCATTCGTGTTGTTGTTGCTTTAAACAACAGGAACCTTCTCCCCATCTTCAATGAAGTAAACTGCACTTTCAGGAGCCTGCAATATATTCAAACATTTACAACATCCTAAATTACTATCTCTAATTATGGAGATCTATAACATAAGTAAGAAGCTTATTCTAAATAAAGAAGACCATACCAACTTTTGCATAGTAAGTTGAACCCAAAAAAAGCGAATCTGGAAAAAATAGACTACTAAAAAAGAAACATGTTGAAGATTCATTTTATCAACAGTAACACATACTTTGGGTTTCTAATATTTTTGTTGCTTGAAAATAGAGATTCCGGGTTTCTAATTATGAAAATGGAGGTTTGCAGGTCCATTTTAAAAGCAAACCTCCATTTTCATAATTAGTTAATAGTTTGCTTTTAATAGAAGCAAGTAGAAAGGGTGCTTTTGTGGAGGTGAAGTAATCTATGAAAATGGACCTGCAGAAAGAAAGAAATAAAAAAACTATTAACCAATTAATTAATAAATTCTCATCATTCGTGGACATTTTCATCTAGTAAAAATGACCCTTTTGCCCTTAATGAAGCAGAAGGTATCCGTTGTTCTGTAGATGGTAGATCAGGTGAAGGTTGACGATTTTCAAAACCCTAGAAAGAAAGAAAAAAAAATTCAGTGTAAATGCTTGTAAGAAAAAGAATAATAGCAATTCCATCTTTTTTACTTACCGGTCTTTCAGAGTCGAAATACAATCTAGGATCTATCTTTGAACTATTAGACGAGGTAAGAATGGGATTTACTCTTCTTGAGCTCGCATCATCCCACAAATAATCCTCTTCCTCTGAGTTCTTCCAATTCCTACTCACTTCACCGCTTCCTTCTATAAGGTTGTTGATAGGTTGTAATTTCACATCAGAAATTGAAGATTAATCAAGTGAATAATTCGAAGATAACTCATGTCCATTACTTTCAAGCTTGGATATTGCATCTGTAGTATTGATCTCATATCCATATCATTTCTTTTCAAGTCCTTCTTCACATGCTCTTCCATTGGACTTTCCAAAACTACCCTCGGAAGGGCTCGATGTGTCATAACCAAATTCATAATTCTCGTGAGTAAGATCACTCTCTGGATCTCTTTGTGCCTGCTGACATGGCAAAGCATAAATAGAACATTTTTAAACATTTTTGTCAACATCAAATTAACTAAAAATACAAACTGATATAACCAAAACATCATAGTTGAATGCGCATAAGTCAAAGTAGCTAAAAAGAACAAAAAGTAAAAAAGATGATTACTCTTTGGAACAATATGTCGAGTAGTTGGTAAATTCAACCCGATGAGGCGTTGATGAAATACAAATGGTAAATCCTGAAAAATCAATCGAAATATGAAATTAATCAAACAAACCTAAAGCGGATTACTCATAAGATTAGATCGGGAATGAAAGCAAGAGAGAAGAGATGAAACAAATTACATGGATCGATGAAGGGGGTGATTTGATGCAGGAGGCGAAGATACCTTTCATGAAAGAGCCCAAGGCTGGAGGCTGGATGAGGTGAGAATTAGTGGCTCTGTTCCAAAATCTGGTACACCGACAAGAAGCAATGGGGTTTATGAGAAATTGAACTTTTGAGAGCTCGCCTTCTGATCGTTCCTTCTTCCATCTGTGCATTCAATTGGAAAGTTCAATTTCAATTATGCACATACAAATCTAGATATAAAAAATACATATATGTTTATGAGAAAAGAAAAACTTTTCTGTAAGGAGCCATCAGATGTTCTTCAAATGAAATATTCGGCATCCTCTTCTTCTTCGTGACGATGATTCTTCACAATCCTTACCATCAACTCCACTTGCTTCTAAAGAAACACAAAATTTTATCATCTCATAAATGGCGCAATTAAGGCAAACAATCTGAGTGCCGATCATCGTCTGTCGCGAGGTGCGGGTCTGGTAAAGCGGTGGCAGCGAGGGAACAATCGATTCCGGACGATTTTGGGGATATATCTGAGCCGAAGACAGGACGCCGATTTCAAGTGTGTACTTGGATTTCATAAGCCCTAATTCGAGAGACCATAGCCGATTAATAAGGTTGATCGGTGGTTCAACTGAGATAATGTTCAATTTAGGGAAAAATATATGAGCAATAGATATTGGCATAAAGAAGGAGGTTATCTAGCGTTGGTCTAAGCGGAGATGAAGCAGCAGAGCGAAGAAGAAAGGAGAGCAGGGTTATCGACTGATATCCAAGAAAGGGAGCCTCAGAATGAGAATAGATCTAATCACAGGAGAGATAATAAATGATGTTCATGGCGGTGCAACATCTGATTGGGTAGAAGAGGCGGTGGTGGGAAAAGTGGGATAAGAAGGAAGAGAAGAATACGATTTATTGTGGCGTTTGAATGAGAAGAAGAAGTTCGGTGGCAAAAGATGAAAGAGAAAAAAGTATCCTGTAGCTAAGGTTTTAGGAATTGATAGTATATATAATTTAGAAACATAAAATGATTTTCTTTATTAAAATTTTGTGATAGAAGACATCGAATATTGGTTATAAGAGTTGTATTTAAATGTTTATTATGATTAAATATTTGTATTTAATTATCTTTTTCAATATACATATAAGACAAAATTACATAATTTGTTTTGAGAAACATGGTCTCTGTTGTTTCAAAATTTGCATGAATGAATTTTTTTTGCTGATGTCGTTACTGTTCATCTGTTAGTATTAGGGTATTTTGGTCTTTTCAAGTAGCAGAGACTGAGTTTGTAATTATGGGTAAACCATAATGACCATTTATGTAATTTTGTCTATATTTTATGTTTAAGAGTTTGTGGTTTTTTCACTTTTTTATTTTTTAAAATGTCCTTTTGACCATTGAGTTTAAACTTCGTAAAATGTTATTTTGACCTCTCTATTTTTCTAAATTTTCATATTTATCCACCGTATTGTATATAATTTTATTTTCCTTAATAACTTCCGTTCGTTAACTTAAAAAAACTAATTTTTTATGTGTTTATTTTTATATATGTGTTGGTATAAATTTAAGGTGGTCAACGTTTTGACGTGAATTTAGAAGTTTATTTCGTTAATTTGTTTTAAAAAAAATAGTTGTTTTTGTACACGTGTCGATAAATTTGAGTTTACCTATGTTTCGACATAATTATTATTATTATTATTATTATTATTATTATTATTATTATTTTACGTTTTCGTGCTTAATTTTATGTACGTTTCCTACGTATAACTCGTTTCTGATATAATAACTTTCGATCGTTAATTAAAAAATTGTATTATATTCAAGTTTGTCTACGTTTCAACGTATTTATTTTTTCGTTTTCTTGCTTTATTTTACGTACGTTTCTTACGTATGAGTCGGGTAACATATAATAACTTTTGTTCGTTAATTTAAGAAAATGTATTATATTCGAGTTTGTCTATATTTCGACGTAACGTTTTTTTACATATCAGTATAGATTTGAGTTCGTCTACGTTTCAACGTAATTTTTTTTATGTTTTCACACTTATTTTTGTGTACGTGTTTTTTTACGTTGAAACGTAACTTTTATCAATAAAATCGTCAAAATTCAACTTACAAAATTCAATGTTTATAATTACACTTTTATCTATTGTATTAATAAAAGTATAATTTTGATGATTGTATTGATAAAAGTTAAGTAACATTGCATTTGTTGGTAGATAAATATAAAGTCTGTACAACTGACTAACTCCAATTTGTACTGTCAAATGAAAAGATATTATATGTGAACAAACACATATGTAGGAACATACATAAAATAAACACCAAAACGTAAAAAACAATTACATCGAAACATAAAATAAAATAATAATAAAAAAACTCTAATTTATATCGATGAGAAATCTACAGAAAAATCCTAAATTTTTGGGAAAAGTTTCAAAAAATTCTTAATTTTTTTTAACAGAAAAGTTTCATTATTTTGAGAAAATAATATAATCTGTTATTTGTTGTTCAAATATATAAAAAAAGATTTTTTCGTTAATTTGGACAAAATGTTAAATAATCGGGACTTCTCTATTAAAAAAAAAACTTTTAACTCTATAGATTTCCCTACAAATACCTAAAAGTAAGTAAGTTAGATTTTTTTAAAGTTAACGAACGAAAGCTCAAATAAACTAAAAAGTATTATATGTGACCAGACTCATATGTATGAAACGTACATAAAATTAAGCACGAAAACGTTAAAATAATACGTCACAACGTAGACAAACACGAAGATAATATATTTTTTTAAGTTAACAAACGAAAGTTATTATATGTGACACGAATGATACATATGAATGTACATAAAATTAAGCACAACAAAATACATCGAAACGTAGACAAATTCTAATATAATAAGATATTTTTTTTAAATTAAAAAACGAAAGTTATTATATGTGAACCGTCTCAAACGAAGGATACGTACATAAAGTTAAACACAAAAAACAAATAAATAATACTACGTTGAAACGTAGACAAACTCGAATTTAAACCGACAATGTATAAGAAAAACCATGTAATTTTTTAATAAAAATTATTGAAAGAAACTTTTAAATTAAAGTCGAAACGTTGAGCACCTTGATTTATACTGATACATATATAAAAGTAAATACGTAAAAATAGTTTTTTTAGGATAACGAACGTAAGTTATTAATGAAAAATCAACTTATATATAAAACGAGATTAAACACGAAAATTTAGAAAATAGAGAGGTTAAAGTAACATTTTACAAATTTCAAATTGAAGGGTTCAAAATCATATTTTAAAAAGTAAAATTGTGAAAAAGATATAAACTCATAAACATAAAATATAGACAAAATTACATAAATGATCCCTATGGTTTTCCTATAGTCACAAACCCAGTCCCTGCTACTTGAAAATGCCAAAATATTCTCATACTAACGGATGAACAGTAACGACTTCAGCAAAATGGATCATTCAAGCAAATTTTGAAAACCACATGGAAACAAAGACTAAATTTGTGTCCTATAATAAACCACAAGGACCATTTATATAATTTTGTCTACATATAATTTATGTTTATAACATTGTAATAGAAAGAAGCTTGGTAACCGTTGTCAAGTCATTAATTTGGATATGACTTATTATTTATTTAAGAATTAATATATTATTAAATTAAATAATTTTCTAAAACAGAAAATTGACGATAGCTAATTTTTTATTTGTTTCATTCAAGAAAAACTTAAAATCATTTAGACATGTAAATCGATCCGGAACTGAAAACCAAAAAGATCATATACTAAAAACAGAAAACCAGATCAAATACCAAAAACAGTTTGTTCGGTTCAATAATACTAAGAAATGTGCTATCTAAGATGGTGTTTGGAACCGGAACCAGTCAAAACCAAACCGGAACCAAAAAAACAGAAAATAATAAGTTGTAACTAAGAACTAAAACCGAACCGAATACCACTAACCAATTCCAACTGCTCCAGTTCGGGTTCCAATTCAATTTTCAGTTAAAAAACTCTTTCTCTATAATCATCTATTATATATGATAGCTAAAAGATTTTTATGGTGTCATTGGAGATATTAATATTCATTAGTACAAGAAAAATAAAAACTCAGATCGGTTGCGGATGCTTTTTGGCTGAGAAAGTAGCTTGGCTGGAGAATTTTTGCTATTTCTTACATTATGTATTTTGATGTTGCTAGATGAGAAATGAATATTTGATATCCTCATACTTTTTGTTCCTATAAATCTTCCTATCCAATTAAATAATGACACGTGTCATATTTAATGCTCATTTAATGATATTTTAGTATACTAAAATGACACACGTCATCGTTTAACTGGGTAGGAGAATTTGTAGTAATAAAAGTAGGAGGATATTTAATTTCTCAAAGTTATATGATTTGATTTTGATTTTCTTAATTGTAATTTACTTTTATTTTTTTACTTTCGGGGTTTTAATTATAGAGGATGAAAATAGGGGAAATATATTTTCTTTGAATTTAATGGAGTTTGTTTTTATGAATTAATGTTAATACTGTTTCACATTTAATAATACATGTATTGAAAGCGAAACCCTACAAAAGAAAACTTGCCAAAGGTATAATAGTTGTCTTTGGTCAACCACAACGGGATAACACTAGTTGTATTTGCTCTAAACAATAATAAAATTGGGAAAATGACTTATATGGGTAAGTATGTTTCAAAATCGTTCAAAAAATATCATTCAAGTTTGGTGTGTCCAAAAAACACCATCCAAGTAAAGCATTTGTACAAAAAACACCAACGAAGTACATTCTTTGTTCAAATTTGACCTTTGGTAACCGGCAATTACCGGTAAAAAATAAGTAAAGGAAAAAAACAATAGGAAAATGACTCAAAGAGGTGACTATGTTTCAAAATCGTTCAAAAAACACCATCCAAGTAAACTTTTTGTACAAAAAACACCAACAAACTATATGTTTTGTTCAAATATTACCCACCGGTAACTGGTTCTTACAGGTTAAATGATAACTTGGCTTAACTATTATGACATGACATAATAATGATTAACAAAACAATAAATGATATATTCCTCCTTTAAAAACCGATTTAGGGTTTCTTCATGAACGAATGATATTCTTCTCCTATGATTGCTCGTCTTCTTCTAAAGTGATGATCTCGAACTCAAGTCCAAAACCCTAATTCTTAACTTAAGGAAAAAAGGGCTCCTTTACCCCTGCCTCAATGGACCTCCCTCCCCCTAAGGCCCAAATCCATAAAAAACCCAAAAAGGCATCCAAGCCCAGCTACAAGGCATCTAAGGCCTAATATGGCCCAAGAACCCCCAACATGGCCTTAAGCCCAAAAAATGACCTGCTACAATCATTTGGGCCCGATGCCTAACTTAAACAAGTCTGTACATAGTCACATCATATGTTGAAGCCTCTGCGATCCGGATGTCGAGCCAGTACGCCTGGCGTACTCCTAGCGTACGCCCAACGTACTCGGCTAGGGTCAAGAACCGCCAATCTTCCAAATGCCATAACTTCTTCATGAAGAAACCCTAAATCGGTTTTTAAAGGAGGAATATATCATTTATTGTTTTGTCAATCATTATTATGCCATGTCATAATAGTTAAGCCAAGTTACCATTTAATCTGTAAGAACCAATTACCGGTGGCTAATATTTGAACAAAACATATAGTTTGTTGGTGTTTTTTGTACAAATAGTTTACTTGGATGATGTTTTTTGAACATACCAAACTTGGATGATGTTTTTTGAACGATTTTGAAACATAGTTACCTCTTTGAGTCATTTCCTATTGCTTTTTTTCCTTTACTTATTTTTTACCGGTAATTGCCGGTTACCAAAGGTCAAATTTGAACAAAGAATATACTTCGTTGGTGTTTTTTGTACAAATGCTTTACTTGGATGGTGTTTTTTGGACACACCAAACTTGAATGATATTTTTTAAACGATTTTGAAACATAATTCATTTTTGCTACACTATAAGTTAGTTATCTAAAAGTTTATCCTAAAAAAAGAAAACAATATATATCTTAAAGTTGTTGAATATATAAAGAAAAAGGATAATAACAAAAAGACGAGTTAATAGTCTTAAACTTTTGAATCAGTCATCAATCTACAAATATATAGAACAATTCTTTTTGCTAATAACATTATTCTTCTTGGGAACTTAATCACGAGAATGAAATGAAGGCAATAACAATCAACGAACCAATGGAATTCATCACTGTGCACGTGTCACGGTGGATCTGGTGGAGGTTTCTTCTTCAGCTTGGAATCAAGACCAGGCTCAACCATTCCAATAAACCCTTTCTGCATTTTGTTGCTGGTGGTGGAATCTACACCCACAAGACATCCCAACTCCACTTTATGCCTCTTCGTTCCAACCTTTTTATACCTAAACGAACCCACCAAATCTACTCGAAAAACTATCATATTCGTCCCTTCCAACACTGTAGGAAATCCATTTGTTTCCACCATGTCTCGCACACGTTTAGTCTTCCCATTACCCTGATAGAAGCTGTCCAACTTGTAGTCTGCTAAAATGGCAAGCGTGGATACATTTGGGAAGTAAGAAAATGTGATATTTATTTGATCTGGGTAATGAAGACCTATTGCTTTGTTTTCGTTTTTTAGCTTGAGATCGAAGTGGATAGCAAAGTTTGTGGGAGAATTACCATTTGCTCTGGTCAGGTTCAAGGTTTGATTATGAAACAGATTAACTGAAAACGATGGACTAGATGGCGATGCGAATAGAGCTACTAAGACAGGCATTAGAACAACGAGACCCAAGGAAAAAGATATCACAAAAAAACAAGCAATAAGAGTGCCATAGTTCACACTGCATGCCATAAAATTGTCGGAAGTGATCAAATAGGATCTGATCTTTTCACCTTTTTTTCAAATCAAAAGAGAATAGGATTGTATTATTGGTATGGAGATGATCATTAAAGATATTTATAGATGAAGAAAGTGGAACCGTGGGTACGTATTTCTTTGGTGTTTTTGTCTGGTCGGCGAAGTAAGCAAAGATGAAATTTCTGGCAACTTTTCTTAACAAATTCAAGAACATTAAATAACTAACTATATTTTATGTATCGGAATTAAAAAGTCGCAAGGAGACTTAACCGATGTTAATTTCTTGGAAATTCAATGCTCAATTTGTTTAAAGATTCCTCTTGATCATCACGTTCGTTTACCAGGTCTAATATGAGGCTCACAAGTCTCAAGTTGACTTCTATTTTTTTTTTTATATGAGGATTAAATTAGTAATACTATTTTCATTTTGTACTCCAAGGATTTTTAAGAGAAGGCATGAATGTATGAGTTGAAATAATTGACCTATAACAATTGAAATTCGAAAACCCGACTTCAAAGCTATCAAGTTAAATGTTCGTTAATTTTATTATACAAGTTGCACTTTATATTTCTTGGATCAGTGTGGATGCCTTCAGATTTTAGCCTACTTTATATACAGAAAAATAGTAATAATACGGATTTGTGTAAATACACTTTCTTTATTTTAAATTTAATAAAAATATTCTACAAATTTAAAGTAATCTGAACTAATTTTTTTTGGTATAATTATGAAAATGGCCACGCTTCAATAGAGATAACGATCTAAAAGCTCTTCTTTATCATTGGCTTCGTCCCAAAGGGTTTTTATTTAGAGAGGTGTATGAATTTATGCTTTATTTATCACCTCTAACAATTAATATCTGAAGGGGTCAATTTTCTTTTTTAGATGTCATAAAATGATGATAGTATATGTGTTAATCCTTTAACGTTTCCTATTAAAAGGCTTTTAACCTAGCAATAGCTATATTAGGTGTTATCAATTTTTTTTGAGTTCAAAGAAGGTTCAAGTCCCATTTTGAATATGTATAGAATTAGGAGTAAATAATATTTGTTGTTTAAAAAAAATAATATTTTCCTTAGGAATATGTATTAATCCACTTTCTTTAATTTGTAGTATTTACTAAAACATTTTCTACCATAACACGCGGTAACTCTTCTACCCTACCATGTATTCATATAATTTGGAAATTTCCTTACAGCTGATTTATTTATATATAAGAAAAGTACAAGAAGTTCCTCAGAGTAAATATCTATAAATAAAGTCAATGCGGACCATTCATTCCCAGCACTCATCTTATTCATTCCCAGCACCCTAAAACGAAATTTTTTATTCCTCTCTTCTGTCTATATATAAAGTAAAATACTTGTTCATTTTGCAGTCACAAGATTGATATAATTAATATGGGATCTTGCGCTAAATGTTGGGGAATAATCATATCAATATTGGCTATCATAACCGCCGTGATCGTTGTATGCGTCTATTTCACCAATCCATCGGATCCTTCATTCACCATCAATGATTTTTACGTTTCAGCCCTCAACCTATCGGACATTTCCTCCACCACCACCGCCGCCAATCAGACCATTTTCTTTGACATGAGGCTCCATAACTCGAATAAAGCCATGGGAGCTTACTACGACCCTGTTACAATTACCTTTTTATACATCCCTAATATCAAGTTGACTTTTGTCGTTGGAGAATACACAGTTCCCAAGTTTTATCAACATAATCAGAAAAGCATGTACGTTAGAGAAACGGTGGCCACTCGGGGCATAGCACCCTATAATAGGATGGTAACATCGTCCGTATTCATAGTGAAGGTGTCCACCAAAGTAGGGTTTAAGTCACCAGCTTATCGTAAGAAGGGGACAGTGGTTGTAGTGGCGAATGTGAGGGTGGGACAAACAGGAGAAAGAGATTCAAAGAGAGGCATTACACTCTTTGAATCTGGTGTGGGTGATCATGGGCTTGGTTGTTTAGGCTTTCGAATGAGTTTATTGATCCTTTCGACTGCCACCCTTTTGATGATTATGTGATTATTTGGGATGTAATATTTGCTAAGATCTCTAAGAAGATTGAAATCTATATCACCATTGTAGCCTGTAAACCAGTTCTTTATTTATGTTGTTCTGTGTGCATATATATATATATATCATAGTTTCTAGTGTATCCTCCTTTTTTATACCATTTCGTAATTTACTATATGCATGACACTTTGAACAAAACCACTAAGGGAAAAAAAATAAAAAACCTCTCTGATTGATCCGTGATTGTATATAGATAAACTTTTAGTTCTCTCATTTCACATAGATTTGTTTTCTCTAAACTCAGCTAGGTTTCGCCATTACTGTGTTTTTTGGGTGAACGAGAGTGATCAAATTAAAGATTTCCAATTCTGTAGAAAACCAGATCAACACATTCCAAGTACGTCAATTCGAATCTTATACAGTGGCTTACTTTACTATAGGTCTTGGGGGTCCCAGAACACTACTCGTGCGAAGAGTAAAATATTTTTTATTTTCTTAATATTAATGTGCAACTACTCCAAAAATTGTGCTACTAGTATTAAGTACAACAAAAAAAAAATATGGTGCACCAATTTTTAGTCCAAAGTTATAAAAAATTAGCCCAATACAATAAAAAAACCAATTAGCCCAATACAATTTCACTTTGTTTAAATCTGGCCCATTTGTCGTTTAATTCCTTTGATGCGGAATAAAGAGGTAGAAGGATTAAGGAAGTAGCATCCACGACACCAAGAAAAAGAAAAAAGCTATTGTGTTCGCTGTTGTGCTCGAGGTGGAAGAAAAAAAAATTCTCACACACCACTCTTCAAATTTCAACCCTTTGCAGCTGAAATTAGACAAGCAAAACATTTTTAAGCATAAGAGATTCCTCCAATCCGAATTTGAGAGCTTAAACCTTAGAATGAAACAAGTATTGAACTTTTATTTGGTTTATGCTTTAAAAAATTAGTTGTTTATTTGTTGAAATTGTTAATTGTTTTGGTGAACTTTTTAGTTGTTTTTGATGAAATTAGTAAATGTTTGAAAGTTGAAATTAGTAGTGAAATTGATTTGAAATATTGATATGTTAGGGTAAAATTGAGTCTTTTTTTAAGAGACTACCAAGTTTCAATGAATCAAATGTTGAAGGGTCATCCAAAAGACAATGCTCCAACTTCAATCAATCATTCCTTTTGGTTTCTAATGTAAATCAACAAAGTCCACAACCTACAACTATTCCAATTACAAATATTGATTTGAAGGATCTTCCAAAAGACACGACGAATACATCATGCATTATAATTTATAATCAAAATCAAAGAGATGAAATAAGAAAGACATATTTGCTTCAAGGACCTTGTCAACAAAAGAATCATACATTTTTATCAAAGAAAATAGGTAACAAAGAAAGACATTTTGTTGTTCATTGGTTTGATGAATTTGATTGGTTGGAGTATAGCATACAAGAAAACAAAACATATTGTTTATTTTGGTATTTGTGTGGAGAATATAGGAAAACAAAGAGGAAGAGATTGTTACACTAAGTTTTGATACTTGGAATAAAAAAATATATTAAAGATTCATGATGGTAATGTTGATAGTTCTCATCACAAATCAACATAAAATTGTGAATTTCTAATGAAAGAAAAATAATCTGTTAGTGTAGCCTTTAAGAAACAAAACAAAGTCGAAAGAGTAACTATAAACTACGGTTAGGTTCTTCAATTTGGTGTCGTAATTTTTATAGAAACAGTTTACTGTTTCGTGGTCATGATGAGTCAAATGACTCTCTTAATAAAGGATTTTTCTTTGAGTTATTATCTTTCATGCGAGATCAAATGAAGGCATTCATAATGTACTTTATAAAATGCTCCTCAAAATAATCAAATGACATCCCTGAGGACTCAAAAACAAAATGTTGGGTGTTTTTTTAAAGAGATAATTTTTAGTATTCGTAAAGAAATTAGTATGGATTTGTTTGCTTTATTGGTTGATGAAGAAAAAACATCATAAATGGTCCCTGTGGTTACCCAAAATCTGAAGTTTAGTCACTGTGGTTTAAAAACCTCATAGATGGTCCCCGTGCTTTCAAAACTTTTGATTTTTGGTCCTTTTTGTTAACTCCGATAGCTTTCTACCGTTAAACGAAGGGTATTTCCGTCATTTAACTATCCAGGGACCTTTTATGAAGTTTTCTTTTATTTATTTATTTTCTTAAAATAAATTTAATATCAAAGGGTTTCTTTCTCTCTGTGTGTGTGTGTGTGTGTGTGTGTGTAAATCGAACAACCTCCATATATGTTCTTTAACAAAAGAAATTTCCAATAATGTTTCCTTTGTTATCTAACCAAATTATCAAGCAAAACATTTCACCAAAACAAAAATTCGTTATGCACTTGTTTCTCCCTAGCCCTATATCGATACTCTCTCTTCCCTTTTCCCATTGTAATCGATTTCAGGTGGTGGTGTTGGCTGTGATATGGCAGCGTGAAGATGACCGGAAAAGGGTATGACTCATATCTCCATTTGATAAACCATAGAATCATAAACACAAGGATACAGATACTCAGATTTGGAATCAAATACAGAGCAAGAAAATCAAACCCAGATATGGAATCTCTCTCTCATTTGTTTTGAAAATGTATTCACTGTAATCAAATACAGATCAGTATCAACGGAACATGAAGAAGACTGAAATTGCTTGTACGACCTCCTCTTTCCCTGAAATCTTTCTATTGCGTCTTTCTCTTGCCACATATCCTTGAGGGATAGAAATTAAGGGCCAGCATCGTCATGGCTGCAACAATGGTTGCCCCGCCAAAATACAGGATGAAATTTCACCATTTCCCCCCAATCTGATGCTCAGATCAACTACAAAAAACGAAATCATCACAACCTCCTTATAACCAAATCCAATCTACAGGCGACAAATTATAAAAAGTAACATGAAAGTAGAATGATGAACGAAAGCGAACAGAAAAGAGTCTGAAGAAACAACACAAGAAGTGATTGGAAATTTCACACTCACACACCTGTTAGTAAGTGGAAATAGTTTTCTTTTGTGATCGATCATACAAGTTGTTGATTGTTATGATTCCTGAAAAAAGGGAAAGTGAAATCATTGACTCGTATGATTCGATCGGCGCTCAACGGCGTGGATCTGGTCATACGGCGGTGATCGATGGGCAACCGCTATTGACACCTCGATCTCAATTGTTGGAACCTGGTAGCAGACCTTGATGGAGAAGACGAAGAATGTGGGTTTCGTTTTTGGAGGATTAGGTGGTAGACGAAGCTTTAAAGGTTATGGATCACAATTAGGTAGAGAGATTGTTGCATCTAGGAAGAAAGGAAGTGGAGACGGGTTGGTGGTGCAGGTGGAAGTAGACGACACGAGAGAGAGAGAGAGAGAGAGAGAGAGAGAGAGAGAGACCCATTGGATATTAAATTTAATTATTTTTTTCTTTTTAAATAAATAAAATAAAACAAACCTCATAAAAGGTCTCTGGATAGTTAAATGACGAAAATACCCTTCATTTAACGGTAGAAAGCTAACAGAGTTAGTAAAAAATGACCAAACATCAAAAGTTTTGAAAGCACAAGGACCATATATGAGGTTTTCAAACCACGGGGACTAAACTTCAGATTTTGGATAGCCACACAGACCATTTATGATGTTTTTTCGTTGATGAATCTAGTGACGTATCGAAAAAAGAACAAATGATCATAGTTTTGAGATATGTCGATAGCCTTGGAATTGTGAAGAAAATATTCATTGGAATTGTGCACGAGAAGGATACATCTTCTTTGACTCTTAAAGTGGTCAGTGTCAAATTTAAAATGTAAGTTTTAAAACTATTAGTTCGTTATTTTTAATGTATTCTTACTTTTTTTAAAAAACTATGTTATTATATTGGAAAATCTCTAGAAAAGTCTCAATATTTACGGAAAAGTTACACTTTAGTCCCAAATTTTTTTTTTTGAACAAAAAAGTCCTGAAAACCGGCAAAAATTTGCAGTTTGACCCTTTTTGACTGGTTGAAACCGGTACAAAATTAATTTGGGACTATTTCGTAAACTAACCCAAAATATTGGGACTTTTCTGTAAATAAAAATATTAAGACTTTTCTGTAAACAAAAATATTAGAACTTTTCTGCAAACAAAACCCTTATTATTATTATTATTATTATTATTATTATTATTATTATTAATAAAAATATAAATAAGAATACTATTTTTTGAACTTGTATTATTAATATTGTTAATAAAACATATAAATGCATTTAAATGAAAAAATAATGACATTGTTTAAGGGTGGATGTGGAGGAGATGGTGATGCTTTTAACATTGAAATCATGAATTTCTGCTTGTATATTTTTACTTTGTATATGGTCATTTCACATTTGTTATTATTGTTTTCAATTCAGAATATTAATATTTAACAATTTAAAAGATATTGCATATTTGTAAGATTGTTTATAAATAGTTTAAGGCATAATGATTTCTCACTTTGTATATAAAATTGTTTAAGGTAGAAGGATTACTTTCCAAATCCAACAGATCCACTACAAACATCTACATAGGTAGTCCATATCAAAATTCAAAAATATTAATTACAATATCTTGTTTAATAAAAATTAATAGGAATAATTCAAAAGTATTAATAAAAATTCAAAAGTATTAATCCAAAAAACATGTCCTATTACTTTTTATTAAAAAATATATTGTAATTAATACTTTTGAATTTTGATATGGGCTACCTATCTATGTAGATGTTTGTAGTGGATCTGTTGGATTTGATAACTAATCATTCTACCTTAAACAATTTTATATACAAACCGAGAAATGCTTCTACCTTAAACTATTTATAAACAATTTTACAAATATGCAATTTCTTTTAAATTGTTAAGTATTAATATTCTGAATTGAAAAAAATAATAACAAATGTGAAATGATCATATACAAAGTAAAAATATATAAGCAAAAATTCATGATTTCAATGTTAAAAACATCACCATCTCCTCCACCT